GAGGGACCCAAACAAACTATTAAGAAGGCAAATCTGAGATTTCATTGAACTCCAGCTCTCGACACAGGTTGGGGAAAGCCCCATGAGCTTCTCGCTGTAGAGTGAACATGGAACGCACGCTATTTGTTGTTTGTGTATATCACGCAGTCTGTCTTCCGGTTGCCTCTTTTGAATGACGAATACACACTACCGCCGCCTGCTGGTAAGGAGAGTTATTGCCACTCACGCATGCGCAGTTCGTACGTGCTTCTTGGCCGTCGGCTGAAGTCTTTGCGGTGTGTTCCAGTGCGACACATGGCCAACACGCAGAGACGCGAGGTGACTCAACAGTTGGGGTCCGTCTGTGTCAGTTCTTTGTTGTCAGATTGGTGTGTCCGAGCCTTTAGGTTCAAATTTGTATTTTGTGCATCTAATCTGTGACATGATTTAATGTTCAAAAAGCTTTATTTGTCTCATACTGCCTGTTTTCACCCTCTGTCTGAAACCAGAGCCCAGTCTGCTCTGATTGGTTAGCTGGCTGGCTCACCGGCTAAATTACGCCTGTGCTTATTCTGCTAACTCAATTTCTCTGACACAAGAGAGAACTTTGATTCCGAAAGTCAACATCAAACGCTTGAATAAAAAAAAGACGTCTCCTCTTACAAATAGATGTCAGACATGAGAGCCAATCACATTACACGTGCTCTCTGACGAAGCATGTTTCTTTACCTTCCAGGGTGCCGGGTTTCTCTGCGATGCGGATCTGTCTCTCGGGGACGACCGGTTCCCCCTCAGAGTTGCCGATGTCAGCGGGGATGAGAGGAAGGCTGGCTCGCTCCTCTTCCTCAGAGCGAGGGAAGTAAAGTGGCAGCAACTTCTTGAACACCGGCTAAAACAACACACACAAACAAAAGTATTAACAGAAATGCAAACAAATATACACTTCACCTTCATCCTCCATGTTTGGACACATTTTGTTACCTAACGTGGAAGATGGATCTCAATATCGAGAGATCTAGCTGTGGTTACGAGGTTCTGTGAGAATAGCCACCGCGTGAATATGGTATCGGCAAATCTACTACAGAACAAGGAAGACGGATCTTAAATAAGAGGAACATGTGGGTTCGGTTTCTCGTGAAACCCAGCATCCAACTCTCTGATCGAGCTTTGAGACAAATGAAAGGTGTCAGTATGCTTCCAGGGCCTGACCGATGATGGAAGAGTGTATGAACCACCTTCTGCCACATTTTCTGTACCTCTCCAAAAGCAGGCACTTTCAGCTCGTTCCGTGTATGCAGGGATTGGCTAGGTGTTTAAAGCTGAGAATATCAAAAGGGTTTGAACTTCGAGCGCCCTGTTTCTATCACTCTTCATCTGGACGATGAGAAACAGCATGAATGCTTTAGAGGAAATGTAGTCCAAATGTTTTTTCCATTATCTCCATGTGAATGGCTATCATTTCTTTCAGCTTTGCGGCCACCAGAAAACAGCTTTAAACATGGTTTGATGAGTAAGTCGGGCGATTGTACAAATATATCAGCTCCCTTTAATTAGCTTAGTACATTGCAAATTCATTTGGCTGTTTTTGTTATATTTTTTTGGTCTGCATGTGAAGAATGATTGAGCAGCTGCTCAGCAGAGAGGGAGAGACAGAAAGGAACAAAAGCGTGTGGAGCCTAAATATTTTCACATTTGATTTATTATGTATTATTATTTCGAGCTGGTGATTTCGTTTTGGTGAATTGTATTTTATTTCTGTTGAGGTTGAATGGATATGTTCCACTTCTTAGTTCCCCATTCTGTGATTATTGTGGTTGTGTTTAGGGGAATTGGTGCAGAGTAAAGTCACACTAACCTCCTCAGTGTCTGACACTGCGAACACCACCGCCTCCAGGCTGTTCCCATGATTCTCCAGGAACCTGCGCACAGTTCCTACACACACACACACACACACACACACACACGTTACATATTAAAACATGCCATATAAATAACGATTGTAGGACACTGGAATCTAGATTTACTATTCACAACTATAAAATGTCTAAAATGTATCTCGGTCACAGGTTCCAAATGTCTCCGAATGGCAGGTTAATAAACATATTTTTTTATATTTTTTTTTATTTGAGTGGTGTTAAGTATTAGCGTAACGCGACACCTTGACCTTTCTGTTAACACAATACATCAAGAAAATACATAATTTAGACAGTATATTCATTCATCAAATACATCATAACCCATCAATAGACCAGCAAAAATACTTTTAAAACTGTCCAAAATAATACCACATATGAATAATTGTTTGTAGTATTTGCTAAACTCCAGTCCTGCCGTGCGTCCTCTCATCAAGGTTCAGTTTGAGGTAATTGGACCTGTAGTGAGTAGGTTTGCTGGAACATGGATGTTTAAGATGTTTCCTTTATCAGATGATCATGTTATCAGGCATCATGTGTGCTTAAAGTGAACACCTGTTTAAGGTTGACATAAAGAATTGCAGTGTGTGTTATAATTCAATATGTGTGTGTCCCTGTATAATTTGTTGACCTCTTTTTGGAGGCCTATGTGGCTTTGGAGGAGCGAGGTTAAGGTTTCTAAGAAGATTATCTGTGAGTAAGTGGGTCAAAAAAGGACAGAGATAGTCTCTCTTTTAACCACGAGATTTGTGTATCTCTCTGTGCCTAACTGGTGAAAAGCTCTCTGTGTGTGTGTGTGTGTGTGTGTGTGTGTGTGTGTCTTACTGAAAGCAATGTGTGTAGCGTCCTCCAGTGGGTAACCTCTTTTGGTCGTTGTCACCCCTGTAAAAGTACTAATTCGAGAAAACAAGTCGGATAGGTCTTACGTCGCGAGCAGACCAGAAGGTTGGAAGGGTTTAAGGGGTGTGGTGTGGCGAGGAGGCCGAGGGAAGTGACGGAAGGTCTGACGTCTTAGGTGAAGTTCTGTGACCATGAACGCATGGTACGACGCTTACCAAGACCGGAAGGATTAGGTCCTGTACCAATTTGGCATGTGGGGCGTGGCACGTGAGGCGAGACGTAGTCGGTTTGTCGAGCGACGTGGGCGTGACGCTCCCCCCTGGGTTCAAGGGCAGTCGTTTTTTGTGCACCCAAACGATAGGACGGAGGTTTACCACCTTACTCGAGGGGTAACTTTAGTCCTGTCGTCTATCGAATGTGTAGAAGGCCTGCGTTTGACTTTTGGTAGAGAAATCTGAGGTGAAGCTCGCTATTTATGATTGTTCGTGAATATAATGATTTTCCCGACCGAAAAATTTACGGTCAACTCATCGTGAACTTTACAAACCGAGATACTTTGGACTACATGAATATACTAAGACAAAAGAATTTCCAACATAGAAGGACCAGCTTACGTGAATAACATTCAGCGAAACCTATTTTCGCAAGTCGATTTACGTTACATTACATTACATTACAACAAAACTATGCAGTCGAGACTTACTTCGAACGTATAAATGTAGTTACCAAAACTCTTAACACTTTCCTTTTATTTTAACAGAAAAATACAATTTACAAAATAAATTATTGTAAATTAAAAAGCGAGTATATTTTTATACACTGTGAGTTTTCAGACTATACCAGGAGATAATTCACACACACACACACACACACACACACACACACACACACACACACACACACACACACACACCAACACACACACAACACACACACACACACACACACCACACACACACAACACACACCACACACACACACACACACACACACACACACACACACACACACACACACACACACTGGGTCAGGGACCACACATTACAGTTACACCCACTTGTCATGCACTTCAACAAGAATAAAAACAAAAGCGGAAGTCTCTCGTCAGCTACCGTAGCAACCNGAAGATGTGTAAGCTATCTGCTGTCCTGATTTCAATGGGGAGCTCATTCCACCATTTTGGAGCCAGGATAGCAAACCCACGTGTTTTTGCTGACGGGAACTTGGGTCCCCCTCGCAGTGCGGGTGCAGCGAGCTGTTTGGCTGATGCAGAGCGGAGTGCACGTGCTGGGGTGTACGGTTTAACCATGTCCTGGATGTAGGAAGGGCCAGATCCATTCGCAGCATGGTACGCAAGTACCAGTGTCTTGAAGTGGATTCTAGCAGTTACTGGAAGCCAGTGAAGGGAGCGGAGGAGCGGTGTGGTGTGGGAGAATTTGGGAAGGTTGAAGACCAGACGAGCCGCTGCATTCTGGATGAGCTGAACAAAAAGCCTTAATCATGAAAAATGTCCAACTTCAGAAGCTTTTATTGTGCGGTCTAAGGCAAATTATGAATTCTTCACTTCTAAATCACTGCGACAGCTTGAATGAGTTAATATGTTTAGCTTCATTTTATTATCCACTCAAAGACAGATGCAACATTCCTATTTGAACTTTCCAAACGGTGTTTTTTTAGTTGTTTATTCCTGCTGTCTTTCAAATGAATGTATTTCGAAAAACTGTGAAGCTGTGAGTTTCTTTCATCACATTAGTGTTTAGTTGCACCCGTCAGGAACCGATATTGTTTATAAAACGAAACCATATCGGATGGGAATCAATTCAAATCTAAAAATTCTGTCAACAGCTTAAATAGATTTCGTATCATTTCTGTATCACGTTGCTTTGAACCCAGTTGAAAGGGAGTTTATACTTGACTCTGATTCATGAACACTGGTCTCAGACGGTTCTTACGCAGCCAGCTGCAGCGTGTTCCTGTAGCAGCTGTACAGAGAGCTCTCCGCCGCCGTCCTGTACTTGGATTTATATTTTGGTCCCACGGTGTGGACGATGTACCGCGCCGCCAGGTTAAAGCCTTTAGTCAGCTTCGCCTCGCCGGTCCGACATCCTGCACACAAACACGCATGCAAAGGTGTTGGTAAAATACTGAATGTACTCTTCCAGTATCAGAGTAGCACATGATAACAAAGGTATCCCAACTGTAGCTGTGAACATGACAGGATGTGTGATTACCTGGAAGAGCATCAGGACTGTTTGAGGCATATGATAGCTATGTGATTAACTTGGTGATTCCGCCTCTATGGAGATAGACATATGACAAGCATGATCATTTCTGAGGTGGAGCTAATCTGAACTAAACATTGAATTTTTAGGTTTTGAGAGAAAGTCAGAATTTTGAGAGAAAGTCAGAAATTTTTAGATGTTTTGAGAAAAGTCCGAATTTTTTTTTAGATTTTGAGAAAAGTCAGAATTTTGAGATGTTTTGAAAAAAGTCAGATTTGGAGAAAAAATCTGAATTTTTAGAAAAAAAGTCAGAATTTTGAGATTTTTTTAGAAAGTCAGAATTTTGAGATTGAGGGGGGAAAAAAAATGTCTTTCTCCAGAATTTTGAGAAAAAGTCAGGATTTCCAGAAAGAAGCCAACATTTTGAGAAAAAAACTCAAGCATGATCATTTCTGACCCGGAGCTAATCTGAAGTAAACATTGAATACTGCTTTCTATTCCTCCATCTTGTGACTGTGTAACTCCCTCTCTTGTATATCAGCATGTGAAGGACACTGTTTAGGAACTAGTTGATGCCATGCATGTGATGACTACTTCCATTCTGGAGAGGATCAGAAATACATGGATCCTGAGATTGAAGACCAAGCCGGGGACAAGATTTTTCTAACAAAAAGAAATCAATGAAGGCAGATACAACTAATTTATAACCACTTTAGTATGAAGCTGATTTAGGCAGAAAGTCTTACAAATCAAAACATGTATTATTTTCTAATTCACTTAAATGTTCATGTGTGGATGTTCAACTTTTAAAAAGGTTAAAGTTATTCAAAATACAAGAACATATTTGTTATCGAGCCACGGAGAGATCTTTTTAGTTTTGAAAGCTAAACTTAGGAGGTATTTGGCTTTAAAAACTTGCAGCATGTTGCCACACATTTTTGGAGATTACAGCAACAGCTCTTTCCAGTGAAATAACAAAATCCTATTGGGGTGACTTTTAAGGATTTTATCAGTACTAAGTAGATCGGATTTGTTCACAGTGAATCCTGGACATTATCTACAGTTAGAGTTGTTTTTGGAAATGTGATTATGTAACTTTGAATGCTTTGGCCAACAGAAACAGAACTCCTTTCGCATATTTGTATTTGTTTGGTAGCAGAAACTTTAAAAACATCTCATAACCTTGAGCACATATATATACAGTAGACATGTAATTTAAATGAACAGAATGTAATTGGTAAGTGATGACTGTAAATATGTATTTTAAATATAAAACCAGGCGGCTTAAATAAAAAGCTTATATCAAGACAATACGTATCTCTGTTTTCAGACACATGTCTCAATTTGTGATCCGAGAGCTTCACTCTGTATTTCTTTATTTTATTGTTACATATTTCATGGCACGTTTTTGCTTTAACTTCTTATGTTTATATACATATTTAGATGTATTTTTATGTATTGTGATTTGGATTGATTCTGATTTACGAGAGCGTCTGTGGAGCATTTCTCAAAGATAGTATTTTGTAGCGATGACAGATTTCATTATTTAAACTAAATTCAGCTGAACACCATGTGCCTGGTTGTGTCTCCAGTGAAGCCACATTTAGATTGTGTTGTCTCCCAATGAGATGTATGTCCTGAGCCGGCGAGCTGAAATACAGCTTTATCTTCAAAGCTGGAGCTAATATGTTTTCTCTACCTTTGAGTTTGAGCAGCTCGTCTCTCAGCTCGGCTCCTGCCAGCCGATGGATGCTGTCGGACACCGGGTTTTTATCATTTAGAGACTCGTTGCTGGTGTTCACGATGGCCGTGCAGTTCAGCAGGCCGATATCACCACAGCTGGGGAGAAACAAAAACAGTTAAAGGTCACCTATTGTGCAAAATCCACTTCTTCATGTCTCTTCTACATCAACATGTGTCCCCTCTTCTTCATGTCTCTTCTACATCAACATGTGTCCCCTCTGTGTAAAGAGACTCTGAAAGTTTCAGGAACAAAGATTCTCTCTCTTTTTGTCCTGATCCATTTCTATAAAAACCTGTCTGAAAATGAGCTGATCAGATTTTGGCCACTTTATGATGTCATAACGATTTTTCTCTTGTGTAACCATTAGCCAATCACCAACCAAGGTAACCCCCCCCCCACACCTTATCACCTGAATCTCCTCCTAGAGCACCATTGAGTTCTTTTTAACCTTAGATGAAAATAAGGAGCCCCTCCCCACGCCCCTCTGAGAGATATTTGGTTAAAAAGAACTCAATGGTGCTCTAGGAGGAGATTCAGGTGATAAGGTGTGGGGGGGGGGTTACCTTGGTTGGTGATTGGCTAATGGTTACACAAGAGNCCCTTACATATGATTATATAGTCATTATTCATTTGTTTTAAAGCAGGAGGCGCAAACGCTTGCCTCGGGGAGGGAGAAAAAGAGCCAGAGCGGAGAATAAACAGAAGGGCAACCATGCGCGGGAAGTCTTCTTCGCTGCTTTTGTAGCAGGACTACAGCGCCACTTGCAGGCCCGGCATATGTACTACAGCGTCTCCAGCGCTTTCGAGCGGTTTCGTGTGAACGGACACGTTTCTGGTGCCTATTGCGTGTGGACGGATGACTTTTTTCATATCGATTTCGGTCCGTTTGCGTTATCGTCCTCGTGTGGCTCCAGCCCTAAGGCCTGCTGAGTCAGAGGCAAGGGCTTTATTTCCAGAGCAGCTATTTCACACCAACCTGCACAAATCCATCCAAAGAAGAGGAAGCCGAAAGGCCAGCTCAGTCTGAGTAAGGGACAACAGGCTGAAATGCATGCATCTAAATCAAATCACACACAGAAATAATAAGCTTTATCTCAATGAAGAACTTTTTTTATCAATGTGTTTTTATTTTTTATTTTTTTTATCATTTTTATCTTTTCAGTATATGTATATTAGGGTGGTCCTTAAAATTGGAAGTCGGAAAGTCTAAGCTCCAACCCAAATGTTGTCAGATTGAGGAAAGAATTCACCAGGAGAGTTTTCTTGACTAATAGAATGAATTCTGGGGGTTGGAGCTTAGACTTTCCGACTTTCAATTTTAAGGACCACCCTACTGAGGCTAAACTTCAAGGTTGATGAGGGAGGGGTAAATGTTGTTGGAATTTGAATACATTTCACCAGGAGAGTTTTCTTGACTATCATAACGAATTCTGGTGGTTGGAGCTTAAAATAAATGAATTTGAAAATGTACATGGCACTAAGGACCACCCTAATGTGTATAATAGCTGTTTTTTCAGCCAATGGATTTCTGAGAATACGAGATGCAAATTTAATTAACTTATTTTTACCATCCCATTAATTCTAGGAGCACTGCTTTCACAGAGTGCTCGATAGGAGTAATTGTATGAACAAAAAAACCTTTGACAAGCTGAAACGGAATTAGACATCATGTGTATTAGGAATCAAAAGATAAGTAGAACAAAGATAAGATGCTAATTGAATGTACATGAGGGACCATTCAGTACTGCTGTATGTCTTGATTGATAAGCAGAATAATTATCTGACGTATTAATGTTTATGTTTCCAAGGAATTTTAATGTAGAGATTATTTATAGTAACATAAAACATTTCAGACTTGTTGATATTGTCTAATCATCTTTGCTTATTTCAGCATGTTTCCTTTCAGACAAAGATTAGCACATGCATTTCCCCTGAAATTGAGATACACGGAAGTTAAGAGGAACAATTACACAATAATTCTTCCTCTCTAAATGTAGCTGAAATTTGAAAAAGTACTATATGCGATTATTAATGTTGTGGCTTCCTTCCTTGTTTTTCTTTCAAGCCACTAGACGCCTTAAAGTTTAAGGTGTCTAGTGGCTTGAAAGAAAAACAAAGCCTTAAGGGTAACTGGACGGTTAAAAACTGTTCCTCGACGGCGTCTTTCTAGCAGGTTGCCAATCACTGTCACTTTAGAGGAGGCGCTGTGGGAATTGTAGTCTTTTATAGTGTGTTGACTACAGACGTCACAATTATGTGGCCTTTCTTATAAAAACAAAATACTGGGTCTAACAATTATCATCATTGCTTTTCATCTGAAAAAAAGGCGAATATTACAAATATTTGAGAAACATCACATTTTTTAATCCAGTAAGTTCCCCTCTCCCTGTTCTCAGCGTCAGCCCGTAAGGCACGGCATGTCCCAAATTGGGATCAATAATCTACCTACCTACCTACCTACCTACCTACCTACCTACCTACCTACCTACCTACCATCATTTATTCAGACTGGAGTCTGCCACGCTGTCACTATGAAACCCGTTTTAATGGCACTGTCACCTCAGAATCAGAAACAGGTTTATTACCAGGTAGGTTTACACGTACGAGGAATTTGACTTGATGTGATAGGACACCTCCTATCAGTCTTGTGTTTAGTGAGTTGTGCATGTGAGGATTGAAAACACCACCGTCAGCTCCTGTAGTTCACAACGTCTTGGTTGTTCAGCCCGTAGGTCCGCAGAGGGATGGATCCTCTGGGCGCTCGCTCCCAGTTCGTGGACCACCAGTCTCTCCCCACCTGGCAGCAGCAGCTGGAGGGGGGGGATGGAGAGGAGGCGCCGCTGTACCCGAACGACAGCCTGTTGAGCCTGGAGTCCTTCCCCTCGCCCTTCCCCTTCAGACCCCACATCAACCGCAAGGTCATCCTGTTGTGAGTCAGCCTCCATTTCCTCACGTTGGGCGAAAACCTAGATATTATCAAGTGGTCAGCTTTTTCAGGAACTCACAATGACAGACTCACTTCTTGTTTAAATGAAGTATTTCACAGATGGAAATGAAACTGGGCTGTTAATGCTGAAGGGAAATATTTTTTAAATGATTGCTATATGACCAGATATTACAGATTTAAAAAATAAATAAATAAATAAAAAAAAAAAAGGCTTTCATTTTATCTTGTGCTCAAAAGGGAGAAATCCTACAATAACCACAATGCACTGGGCTCCTTACACCACGATCCACTCCTGCTGGCGGTGCTTAAGAACTCCTTAGTGGTTAGTTCATTGACTTTAATCTTAAGTTTTAGGAGTATCCCAAAATGTCAGATTCTAGAGTTACATTATTTAACTCTAAGGCAAACAAAAAATGCGTAAGTCTCATTCTGAGGTTTTTATCAGTTAATCTGGTGAACTCTTCCACATTATACTGTCTTTTAACTATGTTTGTAGATTGTGTTGTGAGCATGAAATATAATTAAGTAAATAATGTCTTTTTCTGTTTCTTTAGTCATAATTTGGTTAGGTTTAATCTTCGGAGTGATAACTTGGCTGAGGGGACTTCTTGTAATGTTCAACTCTTGGCAGGCAGGGGCTTATTATTGTAACGGTGGCACTGGAGTTGTTGTGTGACCTTTTGACAAATTCATCAAGTTCAAAAAAGCTCTTTGTCGGGAAGCAGGACATTTGCAGACACACGGGTTCTTTAACAGTGTTTACTGTGACTCTAAACATGGGTCACTGTCAGTTAGTCCTACAGGAGCTACGTCATAGGAGCAGAAACACACACTCAGCTGGTGTGTGTGTGTGTGTGTGTGTGTGTGTGTGTGTGTGTGTGTGTGTGTGTGTGTGTGTGTGTGTGTGTGTGTGTGTGTGTGTGTGTGTGTGTGTGTGTCCGTGTCCGTGTCCGTGCCCGCCCGCTCAGAGTTCAGAGCACCTCGTAAATCCTCTTGTTGGAGGAACACATGACCGTCCGCAGTTTGACTTGGCACAGTTTCTGTGAGGGCCTCGTTGTTTCGGCACATTCCTGCAGCGCTAACGTGACCGCGGCTCCTCAAGCAGCGGCACCTTTTTTAAATTGTGATCACTTCTCCACAGCTCATGAGCTCTCAACAGTCCCACCCTTTCAAGTTTCAAGGCTTTTATTGTCATTGGTCGATGAAAATCAGAGGTCACAGGCCCCTCCAACAGTGCAACACAATAAAACAGATCAAATAGTGCAAGTAATACAAATAAAATAGAATGGAAATAGTGCAATCAGAGTCTATACCTGGTACCCTTGCTGCATTTCAATTAATTTAGGAGGGTGCATTGGTTTTAATGAGGACATGATATACAGCACACATTCTATTATACAAACAATTCCTTTAATTTACTGTATTATTAAAACAATTGCTTCAAGGAGTTGGCTTTAATAGTCTGTGAAATAATAATAATAGTAAATACATTTCACTGTGGTTGGCTGTAGATCTCACAACCAATGGCCACACTGCCAAATGTTACTTTCACTTTCAGCCATAGAAAGCTGTAGTCATGACATAAACACGTCGACAGTTCCCCAAGTTATTGCTTAAAAATGTGTGACACTATTAATATTGTAATGTTTTTGACACAACACACCTCTTTTGACAAATATATGTATTGGCGTGTTGATTTCCCAACACCAGACATATGCAAATTCATAAATACATAATCACAATGAAGCAGTTAACAGACACTATTTAAATACATATAAATCCTTGACAAAAATAGAAGATATAATTAGTCTATCATAATGGAAGTAATTAAATAACATTCATAAGTCAATAAGGTTTTCACAGTGAGTTACAAAGTTGGTTAATATGACACACCTGTAATCATGACACTTATAAGCAGCATGTGGATTATTTTAGAGGGTGGAGAGTGAGACAGGAATGTCTTTGTCTGCAGCTCGGTTTATATAAAGCTGTTTGTCGGGCTTATTATGAACTCGATGCCATTTAGCTTCAGTATTTGGAACCTCAGGAGTTACACACATGGAGATACAAATAAATATAAAACAGCATCTTCAATTCTGTGGTCTGTTTCTTCAGTAAGTCAGGACTCATTTTATTAACCTAAAAGCGATGATGTACAAAAAGAGAGCTCTTCCTCTTCTGTCCTGGAGGCTGAACTTGTCTTGTGACCAAATATCTTCAACACATGCTCTTGTAGTTCCTCATTGTTCTCTCCAACAAACACTGGAGGGCCTCACAGTGACAAATCTATTTAATAAAACAAGCTTTTTACTTTGGATTAATGTCCAAATGTTTATGGTTGTTTGGATGAATGTGTGCAGACCAATGGGTATGCATGTGCTCACTCACTGTCTTGAGATAAAACAACTTGAATGACCTTTGTGCTGATATTTGGCGACACGGATGCATTAAAGGTCTCCTATTATACTGTTTTTCATCAATATATTATAGCTCTCAGATATATACAGAACATGTCTCTGATTGGCTCCAAACACCAAACAGATCATTGCAGCATTACCCAGGCACAC